TCCTATAAACTGCCTTTTACTATTTATTTGTTTATTTGTTTATTATTTATTTATGCATTTCTTTATTATTTATTTATTTATTTGTCTATTTATTCATTATTTATTTACTTATTATTTGTTTATTTATTTATTTGCTTCTTGATTTGTTTAATTAATTAATTAATTAATTAATTAATTAATTAATTTATTTATTTATTTATTTATTTATTCATTTTCTGCCAGCTCTAGAGAAAGCCCCGCCTGTCTGAGGCTTTTTTAAAATAAATTTAAAAATTATTTTTTTAAAAAAGAGGGACAGAAGCAGCAGCAACAGCAGCAGCAGCAGCAGTTGCTGCTGCTGCTGCTGATGCTGTTGCTGCTGTTGCTACTGTTGCTTCTGCTGCTGCTGCTGCAACGACAATAGCTCTAGCAACAACAGCCGCAGCTGCAGCAACAGCAGTTGCAGCAGCACCAGCTGCAGCAGCACCAGCAGCTGCAGCAGCAGCAGTTTGCTGCGGCATGCAGCAGCAGCAAATTGGACCTTCATGGGGCCTGCTGCTGCATGCATTGCAGCAGCAGCTATTGAACTTTAAATTCTCTCAAGTCCAAAAAGATATTCTGAAACTTTTCTAAAATGTTTTTCTTTTTGAGAACTGAAGACTGCGCACAAAAGTCTTTGCAATAGTTATTTAGCTCTGCTTTTGCTGCGAGGCGCTGCCGCTTTTGCTGCTGCTGCTGCAGCAGCTGCTGCTGCTGCAGCAGCAACTGCTGCTGCTGCTTTCGCTGCTGCTGCAGCAGTAACTGCTGCTGCTGCTTTCGCTGCTGTTGCTGCTGCGGGAGGTGCACTAATCTCAAGTTTTCGATTTCTCTTTTTGCTGCTGCAGCGTTGAATTAAGAAGCAGCAAAACTTGAAAATAAATTAATTAAAAAGCAGCAAAACTTGAAAATAAATTAATTAAAAAGCAGCAAAACTTGAAAACAAATTAATTAAAAGGCAGAAAGACTTCTAAAAGGAATTTTTTGAAGAGAAAAAGGCCAAAAATTGCCTGCAAAGTGAAGCAAAGAACTGCAGCACAGCTGCAGCATGCATTGCAAGCAGCACTTCACAAGACCATTTTGTCTCAAATTTCCTCTTTTTTGCTTTTTATTTCTTTTAAGATTTTGAATTTGCATTAAATAGAAAATAAAAGAAGAAAAATAAATGAGAAAAGAATAAAAGACCGCCAAAAGGTGAAAAGTAAGAAAGAGCTGCTCAGAACTTGCATATAGGCGAGTGCTGCAGCGGCGCTGCTTCAGCGGAGCGCAAAAGCAGCAAAAGAACTTTAAAATATTATTTAAATTGATTTTAAAATATTATTTGAAATTAAATTTCATTTTAAAAATAAAAAATAAACAAAATTAAAACACAAAAGGCCGAACACACGCGAGCAAACGCCCCCTCTCCACTGGCTCTGGCGGGTCACTCGCAGGTCACCGCAGCAGCAGGCGAGAGTTCCTCGAGACTGCATGCATTAATTGCAAAATAACTTTAATTTTGAATAAAATTAATTCAATTTAACATTTTAAGTCCGCAATAAACAAATTCGCCTTTGCGTTTCCAGCGGACTCGGCCCCGCCGCAGTGCTCGCTGCTGCTGCTGCTGCTGCTGCTGCTGCTGCTGCTGCTGCTGCTGCGCCGCTGCAGCACATGTGGCCACTTGCGCGCGTTTGCTGCGGACAAAAAAGGGAATTTTATTCAAATAAACTGGCGAAATAATATTTTGATTTTATTTTGTTTGTTTGTTGAAGGTTGAGCTTCTGAGTTCTGGGACTGCAGCGCCGGTCGGGTGCTGCTGCCACGCAGCAGTCAAAATGGTTCTTTTCCCTTTTTTCTCTCTGCATTTATTTCTCATCTTTTTCTCTTTTGCTTCCTCCACATCTTCTTCTCTCCAGTCCCAGGTGCTGCTGCCGCTTTCCCCCGCAAGCAGGCTGCAAAGGGCTCAGCAGCAGCAGCAGCAGCAGCAGCAGCAGCAGCAGCAGCAGCAGCAGCAGCAGCAGCGGGAGCAGGAGGACGAGCACTCGCACCTGCTGCTGCAAGCTGCAGATTCTGCTGCCTTTTCGTTTCCCCCCCAAGTCTCAGGCTTTGTCCGCCTGGCCCGGTTCCTGCAAGAGGAGAGTCTGGCAGCACCAGCAGCAGCAGCAGCAGCAGCAGCAGCAGCAGCAAGGGCTGCAGCGCAGCAGCAGAAGCAGGCCAAGTGGCTCGCTGAACGCCTGGCCGAGTCCGTGAACTGGAGCCGCCTCTCCGTGGATTCTGCTGCTCTGTCTTCAGTGTTGACTGCAGCAAAGGAGATGGGCGAGAGCCGCGGCCGCGGCGCTGCTGCTGCTGCTGCAGCGCAGCAGCAGCAGCAAGCGCTGCTGCTGCAGCTGCTGCAGCACAGCGAAATGCTCGCTGATAACCTCGACCAACTCCTCGGAATGCTCCACAGAATCCAACGAGAAGCAGAAAAAGAAGGAGTTGAATTTAACGCAGAGGCCTGGCGGCT